CTGGTGTGGTCACATGACCCCCTGCTGTCTTTCAGCCCCATGTGGTCTGCGGCGAGCAGCTGGTCCACAGCCCCTACATGCAGTGCCTGGCCTCCCTGGCTGTGGGTCTCCACCTGGACCAGCTCCTGTGCCGGCCCCCCGTGCCCCCCCACCTGCGCCACTGCCCGCTGGAGTCGGGCTCGGCCGTGTGGAGCGCCAGCGAGTGGGCGTGGCTGGACTGCTTCTCCACCACGGTGAAGGCGGCCGAGGCGCTGGCCCGCGGCGCCCCCTTCCCCGAGTCCTTCCGCGTGCCCGACCTGGAGCCGGTGCCCAAGGACGAGATGGCGCTGCTCATGGTGAGGACGCCCCCACGCCGGCGCCACGAGGCCCCTTTCCACTCTCCGCCGCCACCAGGGTAACCGCCTCTCTGTTTCCAGGACAACAGCAAGTGGGCGTCTGGATTGGATGAGCAGATCATGTCCTGGGCCACCTCCAGGCCAGAGGTAACCCCCCCTTCCAGACCTTTCTGACCTCATGGCCTGGCCTGACCTGTCTGACCTCATGGCTGTCTGCCCTCTGACCTTTACCTGTTGCAGGACTGGCACCTGGGGGGGAAGTGTGACGTGTACCTGTGGGGGGCGGGGCGCCACGGCCAGCTGGCCGAGGCCGGCAGGAACATCCTGGTACCGACCGCCGCCCCCTCCTTCTCCCAGGCCCAGCAGGTAACCCCCCCCACCCTAATCCACCCCACCCCGGTGGCCCTCAGGTTTCCCCCTGACCCTTGACCTCTGCCCCCTGCAGGTGGTGTGCGGTCAGAACTGCACCTTTGTGATCCAGCCCAACGGGTCGGTTCTGGCCTGTGGGGAGGGCAGCTACGGCCGGCTGGGTCAGGGCAACTCGGACGACCTGCACGTCCTCACCATCATCTCCGCTCTGCAGGGTGAGCTGCAGCCCGGAGGCCCGGCTCTGACCTAGTTCAGATCCACTTATGACAGTCAGACCTGGTTCAGACCCAGTCCTGAGCCGGTTCTGATCCCATTATGACTGTCAGACCCGGTTCTGACCCTCACAGACCTGATTCTGACCCAGTTTTGACCCAGTTCAGATCCCATTATCACTACCAGACCCGGTTATAACCCGGTTCAGATCCAGTTATGACTGTCAGACCCGGCTCTGACCCTCACAGACCCGGCTCTGACTCTGTTCTGACCCGGTCTGCCCCTGCAGGCTTCGTGGTGACCCAGCTGGTCACGTCGTGCGGCAGCGACGGCCACTCCATGGCGCTGACGGAGAGCGGCGAGGTCTTCAGCTGGGGCGACGGCGACTACGGCAAGCTGGGCCACGGCAACAGCGACCGCCAGCGCCGGCCGCGGCAGATCGAGGCGCTGCAGGGCGAGGAGGTGGTGCAGGTCAGACGCCGCCGCGGGGCCGGGGGGGCGGCTCGGGACCACCAGCGGCACCCGGAGAGCACGCCATCACCCACCCGCTCTGCTTTCAGATGTCGTGCGGCTTCAAGCACTCGGCGGCGGTGACGGCGGACGGGAAGCTGTTCACCTTCGGGAACGGCGACTACGGCCGGCTGGGTCTGGGAAACACCTCCAACAAGAAGCTGCCCGAGAAGGTCGCCGCCCTGGAGGGCTACCAAGTGGGACAGGTAGGGCCCCCCATTGACGCCCCCTATTGACGTCACAGTTTTTCTCCCTAATAACAGTTGTGAAAGAACTGAGTTGCAGCTTTTAGTCGACTGGTTTCAGCACGTTGGCACAAAATTTCCTTCATTTATGGATGCTGGAACAGAGCTCATTCCTAGGAAATGAAGCCTCATTCTGGAGGAAAAGCAGCAAAACTCTGAGTTCTGTGGCTCCTCCTCCTCCAGGTGGCGTGCGGGCTGAACCACACGCTGGTGGTCTCCGCTGACGGCTCCATGGTCTGGGCCTTTGGAGACGGGGACTACGGAAAACTGGGGCTGGGGAACTCCACGGCCAAGTCGTCCCCTCAGGTAGGGCGCCATGTGACCGCCGGCGCTATGTGACAGCCAGTCACATGGCGTAAGAGCCAAGCCACCGGCACCATGTGACTGCTGACGCCATGTGACTGGCTGTCACATGGCGCCTGAGCCAAGCCGCCGCTGGTCACATGGCTCTGACGCCGCTGTGCTTCCTCAGAAGGTGGACGTCCTCTGTGGGCTTGGCATCAAGAAGGTGGCCTGCGGGACGCAGTTCTCCGTGGCGCTGACCAAAGACGGAAAAGTCTTCACCTTCGGCCAAGGTTTGCTTCACTTCCTCCACTTTGTGCTGCAGAGGAGGCAGAAAACCCCAAAGTCTAGCCAGGGTTGTCCGCCCTGGATTCTCCAGGTCCAGCTTCGTGTTTTTGCCAACATTCAGTGTCACAAACTGAAGGTTTTTAGAGCTCTGCTTTTCATTTAGTCTCAGTAGAACCCTTGCTGGTAGCACACAGTACAGTAGAGACCCCTGCTGGCTGGACATTGCAGCCATAAAGTCAAACTAAAGTCTTTGAGGTGTGGTCACATGACGCTTTGGGCCTCTGGTGTTTGTGGCGTTGGTCTGCTTCCTGCTGCCAGCCGCTCACAGCTCAGGTTAACGCAGTTTTCCAGCCTCTGATTCCTGATCCGTGTTCCCTGCAGACCGGCTGATCGGCCTGCCGGAGGGCCGGGCCCGGAACCACAACCGGCCCCAGCAGGTCCCGGCGCTGGCGGGGGTCCAGGTCCAGGACATCGCTGTGGGGGCCGAGCACACTCTGGTCCTGAGCTCCACCGGAGACGTCTACACCTGGGGCAGCAACTCAGAGGGACAGGTAACCCCCACCCTTTGGAAATGGATCTGACTAATGTTGACTGGTTCTGACTGGTTTCTACTGGTTCTGACTCGTTTTGACTTATCTTGACTGGTTCTGACTTATCTTGACTGGTTCTTCCTGGCTCTGACTGTTTCTCTCTGGTTCTACCTGGTTCCTCCTGGTTCTGACCCGTGCAGCTGGGTCTGGGCCACACCAACCACGTCAGGGAGCCCACTCTGGTGGCGGCGCTGCAGGGGAAGAACATCCACCAGATCTCAGCCGGCCGCTGCCACAGCGCCGCCTGGACGGCGCCGTGCGTCCCGCCCCGAGCGCCCGGTGAGTCCGAGTCCTCCCACCAGGACCAGAACCAGCCCTGGGTCTGACTCCTGTCCCCCTCAGGCTCCTCCGTCCCGCTCCAGCTGGGCCTGCCGGCGGCGGTCCCGCCCCAGTACGGCGGGCTGAGGGAGGTCAGCATAGAGGCGGTCCGGGCCCGGCTCCGCCTCCTCTACCACTTCTCAGACCTCATGTACTCGTCCTGGAGGCTGCTGAACCTCAGCCCCAACAACCAGGTAGGAACAGACGTCCAGGCAGCTCCCCCCCTTTTGGACCAGTTCAACCAGCTCCCCATATTTTCATTCATATCTTCAATTAAAAGAATTTAACCATACATTTTTCATCAGAAGCTTCTCTTTGATTTTTTTTTATTTTCATGTTGCACATAATCTGATCAAATTGATAAATATGTTATATATGCATTTATGTTTATATTAGTTTAGAATAATGTAAAAATGTTGAAAGATGCTATTTGAACTGTAACAGCTCAGAAAAAAGCCTGAAACTCTCCAGAGTCTCCGATCTAGACGAGGAGGCCTGTAGTGACCTCTGACCTCTGACCCCGCAGAGCTGCACCTCCCACTACAACGCAGGGACCTGGGGCCTGGTCCAGGGCCAGCTGCGTCCCCTGCTGGCCCCCCGGGTCTACACGCTGCCCATGGTGCGCTCCATCGGGAAGACCATGGTCCAGGGCAAGAACTACGGGCCCCAGATCACCGTCAAGCGGATCTCCACCCGGTCAGAACCCCTACACCTGACCCTGCCCCC